TATTAGTGACTCAACTGGGGAATGTGAGAGTTGTTTCCTTTTCATCTGGTAACTAGCATCCTAATTTCACCTGCACTTGACATTAGTCCCTCATTATTTGTCAACTTCCTCTAAATAGTTCTGGATGGAAGACAAAAGCGTCTTGTGTGCTAGCTGCCCTTGCTCTTTGCAGCCAAGTTATAATGGAGTGCAGTGTGAGATACACAGACAAGCATTTATTTTCCTCAGAAGCCTCAGTGCTCATTTGCAGATCCCTTTCCCAGCCATTTTTATTAGCTTCACACATTGAGAATGGATCTATAATCAGGAAGACAATTATCAGGACTCCATGTGTCCATGTTGGTGTTTTCCTGAGTCCAGGAAATGAGCTGTTCATTATCTGGTAAGCGCTGACCATTAGAGACAGAAAGAGTCCCTTTTCCCAGCTGCTCTCCTTCATGTCACAGAAGCCTTCTTTCTCAGTTCATTAAGTTTAACCTCAGGCAATTGCCACTCAGCCAGATCACTCCCTTTTTGTCGTTGTTATCCTTTTGACACACCCGAAGATGGGTCTTGCATTGGCAGCAATGAACCAGCAAGTTTTCATTTTTTAAAAAATTACTTTGTGAGAGAAGGATTTAGGTTGAAAAAGGTTTCTTTCTCCGAAGACAGTTAACATTTTTTCTTTTATTTATACTGATGGCCCCAGTTATCATAGCTTTTAAAGTCAGCTTTATAGGTGCATAAGTAAGAAGAAATAATCTTAAATGTCATCCTCTGTCAAAGCTCTTGAGTCGGTTTTCAATCAATGTTTGGTCTGTTTAAAACAAATAACATGGGCTCTGGGTGTAGGTTGGGTGAAGATCAGCATCTCAATACTGATCACCCAGCATGTGCAAGGTCCTTGGTTTCATCCCAGCACCACACGAATAAGTTAGTAAATAGATAAATATATAAATAGACAGATGATAGATTAAAAACTACATGGATCATGATCATTAACAAAGAATAACATAATTTTTAATGTGTCTGTGATTTTCCACTGATTTTTAATCTTTCTGTTGAAGATAGACGTTACATGAATGTATGTACAGGATCTTGGGTTTATTCCTTTATCAGAAGTTGTTTTAGCTGAAAAAATTTAGGTTAGCATAAAGTTTTGGATTTATCATGGCACCTTCATACAAATGTGCCACACTTTATTCTTGCTTGTCCCTTTCCCCTACAGTCCTCTGCAGCACCCCAGCCCCCTGTCCACGCTGTCCCAGTCAGCCCCTCACTTGTGTTTCTAAATTATATGCACTGAAACTTCACTATGTCTTCCTATTTCTGAGCTTTTATAATCCTGTAGCTATAAATTTATTACAGTAATTGTCACTCTATCACTATCATTGTGTGGATGCTTTGCAACAATCACTCATTTACCTATCTTCTCTTTCACACATGCACACACACAAAGCAAAATACAAATAAAGTGTGTGTTATCCTGCTAGCATCTTTTCTTCTCTCTCTCTCTCTCTCTCTCTCTCTCTCTCTCTCTCTCTCTCACACACACACACACATACACATATATATATGTATATATGTATATACATAATATACATATATATATATTTCTATGTCTTAGAATAAATTCTGAGAAATTGAATTACTAGTTTAAAGACTTTTTTCAATTAGCATAGTGTTGACATTGTTTCTTCTTGACTTAAATTAATTGGTACTTCCTTTGTCAATTAAAAGTGAAAGTTTAAAATCCATTTTTTGTATCTTTGAAGGTAATAGATGTTGAGATTTGCTTTCTAACTTATTGGGTCATTTCCTCAATACACCAATTGACTTTGTTTCCTTTTCTTACCAGACCTGGTAAGACATGCATATTCCGGTGCTCTCCAGGGTAGGTATTGCTCTTATTGCTTTCATATCAATGGGTTTTCCCTCCACATGGCATTGTAATCAAAGATAGATATTGTTTCAAGCTGTTGTTACATCTGCTTTGAATGTGGGTTCCATAATTGCATTTAATTGTTTCTGGCTATGCATTCTTTTTGAAAGCGACATGATACCTAGGCTAAAGGGGATTGCACCAAAGACTTCCTTAGTTTTTATTGCTAAACAAATATTTCCATAATTGTTTTGCAACATGCCAGATCTGGTCTCAGTCTCTCCTTTTATGAATCATTATGGGGCAATTTCTAATGTTATTTTCCTGTAATCCCTCAGCTGTCCAAAGGCTTGTTGAAAACTCTTTTATAGGAATATCAGATGCCAGTTTTGCATACTCTGCCTCCTTCTCCACACAAGATGCCTCCTTGTTGATCTATTTCTTCAAGCCACACTCAACAGAAGCAAGACAGTGCCATGAGAAGAAAGGGGCCAGAACCCTTTTGTGAAGAAACAGTACAGTGTGATAAATATTGGGAAAAAGAACCCCGTGGACAATTATGAACACATAGCCCTTTCATAAAGATAGATTGTGAAATGAAGAGTGACCCATCAGCTGTCAGCCAAGTAGCCGAGGGGGTCACTGGGGATATGGTTGACAGGGTTTTCTGTCAACTCGCTGTGTTTACAAAAAGCAGACATGAGCCCCCATTCTTCCTTAACATGCAAGCTTTGTCTTCCATGCCACCCTCTGGACGGAGCAGCTGACTCTCATTTTAATGGAATGCCCCTCTCTATACTTCCAAAGCAATGTTTGAGGAATCACTTTGATTGGTCCAGGGTTTTATTTTGCTTTTCTACTGTCTTTTGCACTGAAACAAGTAGCACATAATTTAATCATTACTGACATAAAAATGAATTAGTTTAAGACTGAATAGTACAATCAGACTTCTTTTATAGTCTGGAATACAGGCTTTTGTTTTGAAATTTTTAGCTACTCCTTTCCTCATTTTCCAATATTCTGAGCTCTCTGACCCAGTCACAATGGGATTAGATGTGCATTTGAGTTAAAACTCAGGGGAAAGTACAATAGAACTCTCCTTACAGACCTTGTTTTCAAATCAATGACATTGCCCATCTTATTGGAATATTCTTAGCTCTTCTTTGCTCTGTAGTGCCAGTCTCAGCCATGCCAGCTTTAACTGATCTGCCTCTATTCTGTTTATACCATATGTTACATTTATGTAACATACTCTAGGCAAATGGAAATACAAAATAAAGTGTTCTCAATAGTACAATATCAAAAGCTTGGAACTTGGGAGGAATTCTCTGGTCTCTAAATCCATGCAGCCTCTTTGTGTGGAACACTGATACTTTGCTGTTTTGGATGAATTCATCAGTCTCCTATGCCTAGGGCCCTTTTTATTTCTTGCTCTGATATTCGTGTTCAGTTACATGCTATCCATTGGCTTTGTGGCTCACTCATTAATTTTATTAGTAAGGCATTCTCCTCCTCCTCCTTCCCCTCCTCCCCCCCTCCCCCTCTTCCCCCTCCTC